TTTCAAATCAATTTTAAATTACAATCAAATAAACTCTTTAAATTAAAATAAAATATGTATAAATATCATTTTTGTTTTTTAAAATATTAAAAAATAAATTGTCAACATCATCTATCCATACAATACAAGTAATATATAGGATATGTTTCTTTAGTATTTTTGTCTTTAGATGTTTATGATGTTAGATAAAAGAAGCCGAAAGCGTATAAATAAATATAAAATAATATTTTATATTAAATTATTGATTTTTTTATATAAATAAAATAATATATATATATTGTATGAATAGAGGTATATATCTAATTTTGGTAATAATAATAAAAAATTATACTATCTCCCTCCACCATCAATCTATCTATTTATATTTGGCGTTATCGTTTTTTAACATTAAAAATATCCTTATATTTGTATAATTTTTTGTACAAATGTAGTTACATTAGTATTATAAGACACCAAAGAAAGTATTTTTTTTATTTTTCCTAAATTTATACTACATTTTAATATAATAATTAATATTCAAATATTAATATTAAATGGATAAATTAACAGTGGACGAAGATAATACTTTTTTATAAATTGGATGAACAAACTCAATATATCATCTATTTTATTTATTTTATTTTACTAATATAAGATAACATTAGAAATTTTACATAGATCATTTGTATAATTATACCCGTTGTCTTTATTTATCATAATTGTTCACCCAAATTACTTTTAGATGATAAGATTTTCTACAAATATTATAAAATAATATGATATGTATTACTATAATATATAATACTCCTCTCCGTCCCAAAATTATACTTTGTGTTGAGTTTAACACGAAATTAATGAATATTGATATTATATTAGTAGTGGGTATAAAATACAGGTAAAAGACTTTTTTAGCATTTGTGAGTGTATTAATGTAAAAAGTAACGACAATTGTATAATAATAATGAAAAGGTAAAGATAATTTTACAGTGATATAGTTATTTATGAAAATGAAACTATTATTTTAGGACGGACAAAAATGGTAAACAAGACTATTGTATTGGGACGGAGAGAGTATAAATATATATATATATTATTCATCCACAAAGGTCAATAATTCAAAATACTATTATTTTTTATATTATTGACACGATTCCCATATATAATACAAAGGGTGTGTTTGTTTGAGGGATTTCCCCAAAAATCCATTATTCATCAATTTTCTTTTTCAACAATATCAAATCAAAAATCTATTTTTTATTTTTTATATTATACTAAAAATCAATTTTGTATTCAAAACATCACATCTCCACTTATTTATACCACATTATACGACTATTCCAATTCAAAATTTTTATTATTCAAATTTCAATTTAAAATCTAAACCTCCAAACAAACACATCCAAAAAGTACATACATAAAAATAATACAAAATTAATACAATTATTTTTATGAAAAATGGTTTTTTGTTTGTTGTTGTAATTTGAAAATGCTTTGAAATAAATTGTTCTTATTTATATAATATTTTGCTATGATGTTTTGTGAAAATAAACAATAATTTTTTTATGAAAAATTGTAATTATTGAATAATGTTAATTTTAGTTTGAAATCACCGTAAATCATTATTTTAAATACATTATTCATCCAATTTTTTAAATGTGATGTTTAATACACTATTCATCCAATTGTTCAATGTGATATTTAATACACTATTAACATAAACATAATTTTAAATTCAACGATCTTAATAAATATAATTTTCATTTAAATTTATCTCAACAAAATAGCAAATTTTCATTTATAGTCTGTATAGTCTCAAATTAATTATTAATTTATATTATTTTTTACTATTAATTTTATATTTTTGTAGTTATTTAAGTGGGATCAATGGAGAGTATATTTAGTGAAATTAACTAATTAAGTTATGTTTATATAGATACTTATAATTTTTTTAACATTATTTATCGATAATAATTTTTTTTTATAATAATTTGCATTAAATAATTTTTTGTTTATATAGAATATTACATCAAATATTATTATTTTTTAAAATAACTTTAAAACTTATATCTAGTGGAACCTATCGGCGTATTTGTTTAACGTTTTAGTTTGATACGTCTATTTTATAGTCATCGTATTGATAATATAAAAAAATAATTTATATTAAATGTTTTATTTATTTTTTAAAAAATATATATTATATATGAATATATTATATTTTTTATAATATTAATTGAAAATTATGTAAAAACAAAATTATTTGTATAAATACACCCTATATTTTGTTTTCGTTTTTTTAGGGCAAATGAAGGTGGGCGTGTAATGATGATATATAAAAGCCAAGCAAAATGGCTTTTGGCACTGTCTCAACAAAACCTATACCTTTCTTTGACTGCCAAACCTTAGAGAGAGAGAGAGAGAGTATTTTCTTAAATTTTAACATATTATGTATCTCACAATTATTTTTTTTTATATGATTTTATATATATATTACTTTTTTTAGAAAAATTAATATTTAATATAAAATATTATTTTTATATTATCGATATAATTTTTTATATTTTTCATATTAAAAAAATTTAAATTAAAATACTAAACAAACAAATATTTTTCAATAAAAATTCCACTTGTATTTGAAAAGTAAAAGATTACACTTCTGGCATAAAAATATGTTAACATAAATTTAAATGTGAATGAGGAATATATATGTTGGATTTTTTTTAGTGTAATAAAAATACAAGAAAAAAGGTAAATTTGATTTGATATTATTTTTTTGACTTAAAAGTGTGTTTATATGGGATTTCACTTTTAGTTTTACTATTTTAATTTTTTTTTCAAAAATATTATATTAAATTAAATAATTATTTCAATTAAAAAATTTACTATTAAAACCAAAAGCAAACAAAAATCCATAAATAAACGCACACATTATAAAATTTATAATGGTAAAACAAATATATATATATATACATATACATATATTTGAATGACAGGGTTCAATAAAAATTACCTCACTCAAAATATCATAAAATTTTTATTATATTTTTTATAATTCCTAATAATTAACACAAATAGTTCACAAATTTTAAAAATTGACACAGAGTAATACATTCCCTCAATTCCATCTCAATTGACATATTTTTTATTTTTATTTTTCTATTTTATAACAATTAACATTTTAATAACATGATAAAATTTATTAAATTAAAATATATTTAATAAATATAAATTAATTTAAACTAACTGCATAACATATAATATCATATTTCACGACTCACTCAAAATCCCTTGATTTTTATCTCTTCTAAAAAAATAAATATTTTTATCTACATTTAAAACAATATTTTTATAAAATTAAGTTATACTATTAATTATAAATAAATGAATTTTTTTATTTCTCTTTTATTTATATCTTTTTTTAAAAAATAGATTTTTCTTTTTAATATATACTTAAAGCTTCGATCTCTTTTATAAAATTAATTTATACTAATTATAAATAAATAAATGTATTTTTCAATCTACTTGTATTTTTTAAAAAAAATTATTCATGATATTTATATTGCATATATTTTTTTTATTACCATATAAATTTTAAAATATTTAAATACATAATCTAATTTTGTAATTATATATATTAAATTTATTTTAAATTACAAATATTATTAATTACATTAAATATAATAAGATAATATTATAATTCACTATTATTAGCTAATTAAATATTATTATTTTAAATAACGTTTCACTGCTAAAAGAGTTTAATTCAGACTTATATTATACTAAAAATCAATTTCACATTCAAAACATTACATCAAACCCTATTTATATCACATCATACAACTATTCAAATTCAAAATTTTTACTATTCAAATCCCAACTCAAAATCCAAACCCCCAAACAAACACACCCTTAGATTCAAATCTGACAATTCAAACCCAAACATAAAATCAAAATCTCCAAACATATATTTTTAAAATTATTTTTAATTATTATGCAGTTTGATAATATAAAATATAGACAGACTATAGACTATATAAGAGAACGAAGTAATTTTTATCTTTTGTCTTTAATAGTAAAAATATACTCCCTTCGCCCCATAATAAAGTATTTATTTTTTTCATTTTAATCCGTCTCATAACAAAGTATCAATTTTCTTTTTTTTTTTTTTTATTAACGGTACTATCTACTAACCTTACAAATACCCTTACAATTTACAATATATTACACAAATGTCATTACCTTTATTTCAGTCATTTCAACTTTATTCCTGCTATATCCCAATATAATACTAATATACCTAAAACTACGCATAAAAATAAATTGGATACTTATTAATAGGACGGAGAAAGTATATACTTTTGATAATAATTTCTTTTTATGACAATTCAAAAGATAATAAACATTTTAATAATGGAGAAAGCATAGGTGTGTTTTCTTAATAATAAAGAAAATACATATTTTTTTTTAAAAAAATATTAATATATTATATATTTATTACTTTTATATTTTCTATACAATTTTTTTAGTTTTCACTTATTTAATACTATTTAATTTTTTAAAAAATATTATATTTTTTCTCACAAAACATCAAATCGAATACTATTTCTTTTTATATTTTTTCAAACTTTCAAATTTTAAATTACCTCTAAAAATTCATATCTAAACAAACCTATATTTTCATGAAAAAAAGTTTCACTTTAAATTATCTCACAAAATAAACATTTTGTGTATGTTTGTTTGAAAATATTACAAATTTCAAATTATAAAATTTTAAAAAAATGTGTAAAATTATACATTTAGAATTTGTTTGTTTTGTAAAATTATTTTTTAAATTTTTTTTTTATATAAATTAATAATAAATGCGTGTGATATATTAATTTTTTATTAAAAATATGTATAATTTTTTTTAAAAATGAAAAGAACAAACCAATTTTTATTGAATATATATATTTATATAATAAAACAATTCCACCTAAGCAATTTATTACTGTACAATATTTGAGGCGGAAAAAGAGAAAAATAAATAGGAAAAACCTAAGGAGTCGTTGGAGTTCTTCGTTCGAGTCGCCGTTCTCTAAAGAAACTCTCCCCAAATTCCCCCAAATCGCTCGCTGTTCTTGCTCTCGATCGACATTCGTCTGGCCTGTATCGTACATCCTTATCGGAAGGAGTACGTTTTATTCTCGATCAGGTACGGTTGATTTCCCCAGATCGAGTTTGATTCTTTTTCAGGGGTTTAGTGATGATTAAGTACGAGAGTTTTTTTTTTTTTTTTTTTATTTTTTTTTATTGGATCGTAAATGTGTGTCTGCCTTAGGTGATAAGCTTGTTTGATGATCTGTTAACTGTTTGCTTCGAGGGTTTTTGCTGCTGTCTCTCGCTACAATTGGATCTGCTGGTTCAATTTGTGTAAATCTCTCAAGGCTTTTGTTATTGTTTGGTTTTCGAATTTAATTGTGTGTTGTTATGTAAAATAAATTGACATTCTTGGGAGATGGCATTGGAAGAGATGGTAATGATTGGGAATGAAGGGATTAGGGTTTTTGGGCGAATTTGGGTTGCTATACTGTTATTATAGAATGGGATGCTTATTGGCTTTGTTTAGTTTTTACTAATGATTCTGAGATATGATTTGGTAATTAGTAAACTAATGTTTGTGAATTTTCATCCCCTGATTTTTATTTTTATTCTTTTAATTATATTTCTTGTTTTGACTGGATTGCCTAGCTGATCCCCTGTTGTTAATCTTGACTTATTGGTCTGTATTTGTTGTATGCCCTGCAGGAAAGTGGGACTACTGAAGTTGCTTTGTTTTGATTTTGTTCTTTGTTGTAGTCTCTCGGAATGGCCACGGAAACTACAAACCCTGTGGTGGCTCCTAGTGCTAAAGTGGTTGGGAATGCCTTTGTGGAGCAGTATTACCATATTCTCCACCACTCTCCTGAGTTGGTTTACCGATTTTACCAGGACTCAAGCGTGTTGAGTCGCCCAGATCCAAATGGTTTGATGACTACTGTGACAACTATGAAAGTAAGTTTGTTTTTACCATATGCATCACTTTGCTATGCTGATCTTGACCATCTGGGCATATTTGGCATGTTATATCATTTCTTGGCACCTGAAGAAATGTTTGCTGTTGCACAATTAATCTGTCTTTAAGTCTTAACACTTGTTGTACTGCAGTGAACACCTCCCCTTATGTGCTAAGCTAGCTTTGTGAACTGTACTTGGCTGATTATGATGTTTTGGTATATTCATTTTTCCTCCTCTTCTCATAAATGGGTATTTCATTGTATGATATACCATGTTCGTGTCTTTCAACCACTTACTAGGTAGATGCGTTTGATGAAAGAATGACACTTGCCAAATGTAAGTGGGATTGAGGGCTATAATTAATATTTATGAAAGAATGATACTTGCCAAATGTAAGTGGGATTGAGGGCTATATAAGTAATATTTATGCATTCTTTTGGTATAGTTTAAGCTAGCTGAATACTCTTGCAGATAGTATTCTTCTAAAAATATTTTATTATGATTTATGAACCTCATATATGTACATAGCCATAGGTATCTGTTCTGAAATGATAATAAAGCCTTGGGAAATTACCCCATACAAAGTTGTAATGTGGTTCTTGTTTTTGCATAAGATAACGGTCTACAAGAATGCAGGATGAAGAACAAGGCAAGTTTCCTAAAATTTGGTCTTAATGGGGCACTATTTGTCGTGAAAACACATCACAACAAAGAAAGTAAAAGGGTTAATTTAAGTTTCCTTCATGTACTTTATCATTTCACCAATGTTTGAATTTGTAGAAAAGCCCTGTAGAAACAAATTGTTTCCATAGGTGATAAAAACACTAAGTTATCAATTGAACAATTATAGTAATAATATGTTGGAGTGCATGGCTATCTTTATCTCTTGGTACAGCAAAATAATGATGATGAACTGAAATAATAATAATATAAATTTGTATGACTTTGTTGCAAATAATAAAACAATATTAGGTCTGCAAGCAAATGCATACCCAAAGTTAAAAATTTCTACACCCTGTACTTTGCACGAAACAAGATGCAAGGCATGTACCAGAAAAATGCTCTTGTTAGATGCTTCTCTTGACGTTCTTCCACTACGATAAAACTATGAAACAAACACAATCAGTTAAAACCTTTCTCTGAAACAAGCCTTTAACACATTTTTATGTTTTATCCAACTTGTTACTTTTGAGCAGGTTTCCAGATGTTGAATGAACATAAGTTTGAATATCATATATTCATAAGCTTCTTGTGCATGTACTATGAGCCAGAATAGGGATATCCTAACAGTTCTTTCTTTCTTTTATCAGAGCATAAATGAAAAAATATGCTCCTTGGACTATAAAAACTACAAGGCAGAGATAAAAACTGCTGATGCTCAGGAATCTTTTAAGGATGGGGTCATTGTACTTGTAACCGGGTGCTTGACTGACAAGAACAACTTGGGAAGGAAATTCGCGCAAACATTTTTTCTCGCTCCTCAAGATAAAGGGTACTATGTTTTAAATGATGTCTTCCGATATGTGGAGGGCAGCGAACCAGAAACTGGTACTGATATGGCTGTTGGAGTTGACAATGCGCCAACTATTTCAACAAAAGATCCAGGTAGCTTTTACTTATCATTCTATCATGTTATATGGCTTTAAGTAAACACATTATTTAAATATTTAATATCTTCATTTTGTTTCCAGAGCCTGTTCAGGTTGTTGATTCTTCCAAACCAGACCTTTCAACTTCTCCTTCGGAAGAAAATGTGACTATTGAGGAGGAGAAAGATAACAATGAAGTAATCATTGAGGGATCATCTATTCACAACAGAGACGCCATTGTGGAACCTGAATCTCACGTCAGTGATAACCAAGCATCTGTCGAAGAAGAATCATTAACTTCTGCATCCCATGATGATGCTCCAAAGAAATCATATGCGTCGATTCTTAGTTCACAAGCAAAGAAAGGACCCACAAAAGTTTATGTACCTGCTGGCTCAGCCAAAGAAACTTATGTAAGGACTGAGAAGCAACCTGTTCACCCTGCTCCTGAGGCTTCAAGCTCTGAAGCATCCATAAATGATCCACCTGTTCATGCACCTGAGACGAATGATGCTCCGGATGAAGGTATATTTTGGGGGGCTATTTCATTACAGATCTGCAGTATCCAAGTTACTATTGCAGAGCTAAAGAAAGATGAGATTAACTCCCAGATGCTAAGCCAATTGCTTGATATCTGCTTGAACTCTTTGATTGTTGGATTTAATTTTTTTCTTTTATACTCCTTGTTGCTTTGCAGTTGAGGGTCACTCTATATATGTCCGCAATTTGCCCCTAAGTGCAACGGTTTCTCAGCTTGAAGCTGAATTCCAGAAGTTTGGACCCATTAAGCCAAATGGCATCCAAGTCAGAAGTAATAAGGTTGTCCTTTTTTACATTTTTTTTTCCATTGATGTCTTATGTTTTTGCTGACACCTTCCTTCTCTCTATAGCAACAAGGATTCTGCTTCGGCTTTGTTGAATTTCAAGACTTCAACTCCATGCGAAATGCAATTAAGGTTTGTACTTCTCTTCTGATTTTTATCGTTTGTCTCCCATGTTTATTTTACAATTATTTTTATTTTATTTCTTGTGTATTTGTTATGGGGTGAGGTCTAGCTTTTAGATGGCATATAGACAGTGTCTTAATTGCAGCAATTCCATCTCCCATGTAAGGTTTATGTTCATGAGAAATCTGTTCATGCTGAATGTCTTATGTGGGATGAAGTTTTGTTCATTCAAATATTTTTGCCAGTGATTACTTACATTGTATAACCCTGCATTTAAGACATCCTTATCCAATTTATTAATCTTTTTGTGTTGCCACTATGGTCATAATTTATAAACTCATCAAAGTGGCGTGGAAGTTTTAGTTTCGTTTTTTCCATTCCCCCTGTATCTCCACATGTATCCACCAAGAAAACATGCTGTGATCAATGTATTCCTTTGATAACTGCTTCATACTATCGGGTCATATTTGAATTTGCCATCTGTTTTTAGAATTGGGGATTTCTTGTTCTTGGTCATATCGCTTCGCAAACTTATTATAATAAAGTTATTTCAGTATTGAAGCAAAATACAATTGCAATCACTTATACATGTAGTTGTGAACTGTCATCTTTAATATTGTGCCTTTACATCACTGCAAGTTTCCCTTCCAGCTTATTATAACAAAATATTTCTTTTCAGGCATCTCCTGTAATGATCGGGGACCGACAGGCTTTTGTGGATATCAAGCGGACCACAACTCGAGGTAACAACGGATCTCGATCTTCACTAATTCAATCAAAATAATTTTGTTATTCTCTTACAATCTTACAATCCACACCTGTATCTCTTTATTGTGCTTCAAGGAAAACAAAATAATTCGGTTATACTCTAATTCCATCATTTCTTCTCAGTAGGGGGTGGGAGGGGTCGGTTCACATCCTCACGTGGAGGTTTCCGTAGTGACAACTTCAGGGGTCCTGGAAACCTCAACAATAACAGAACTTATGTTCGAAGTGACAGCTTCCGGGGCGGTCGGGGGAGCTTCAGCAGAACCAATGAAGGCTACCAACAAGGGCGGGGTAGGGGGAGAGGGAGTCGTCAGCCCGGCCCCATCCAGACATGAAAAGGTACACTGCTGCCAAATTTTGACTAAGGTTTTTAGTTCCTTATGTGATCTATGATGCACAGTAGTACTAAATTGCTGGTAATATTGAAACTTTATGGGACTTGAATTATTTTATTTTTGGGCTTCAGCTGTCTCTGAATGAGATATGACTGAATGGTTAATTGTTATAGTGTAGTTTTAGTTTCCTAACATATCTTTGTTAGGAAAATATTTGAATTTAAGAGAAATTTTAGACTTAAATGGTGGTAAGCTTCTTGTTTTATTGATGGTTTTGTTTTTGTTTTTGTTTTATTTTAATTTTTTCAAATTTAATCAAATGCTCCACTAATTTAGAAGCTATATTAATTTTAGGATTGTGGTTTTAAGAATTTTATTTTATTTTTTTATTTAAGGAATGCTTGCTCATTAGATTTATTTTAAATTATATTAATAATATAGAAATATGTATAATTTTTATGTGTTTTTATTTGTGTGTATGGTATAAATTAAGGAAAATTGCAAAACATTTAGGGAAGTTTTATATTAAGGGTGTGTTCGGTTGAGAGATTTGAACAAAATCTCACTATTCATTCAAAAATTTTCCCCCAAAAACATCAAATCAAACACCTATTTTTTATTTTTTATATTATACTAAAAATCAATTTTACATTCAAAACATCACATCATCACCTATTTATATCACATCATACAACTATTTAAATTCAAAATTTTTACTATTCAAATCCCAACTCAAAATCCAAAGCCCCAGACAAACACACCCTAAAAGTAATAACAAATATATTGAGATGGATTTATTCTCTATAAAATAGTACTTATATTGGATTTGTTTTATTAAAGTATAGCATTAAAACAAAGCTCTAATCTCCCCATTGGACATGGGGTGTGTTTGTTTGGGAATTTGGATTTTGAATTGGAATTTGAATAGTAAAAATTTTGATTTTGAATAGTTGTATGATGCGATATAAATAGGTGTTGATGTGATGTTTTGAATATAGAATTGATTTTTAGTATAATATAAAAAATAATAAATAAGTGTTCGATTTGATGTTTTTTGGGGAAAAATGAGATGAATAGTGTATTTAAAATCCACTCTTCCAAACAAACACCCTAAATAGTTTTTTAAATAGTACTCTCACCATCCCACCACATATGATTTTTTATTTCTATTTTTAGCACACTTAACAAATAACAAATAGTATAAGTTAATTTAATTAAAATTTTAACCTCTTATATGTAGGATTTATTCAAAACTCTTTTATTTTTATTTTTCTATTCAATTAACAAATATTTTTATTAGTTTTAAAACTTTTTATTTTTTTATAAAACTAATTTATGGTAATAATAAATAAATAAAATATATTTATTTATTATATAAAATTTTATTTTTTACAAAATATTATTCATATTGCATATATTTTATTAAGATATAATGTAAGCTTTTTGTTGTTAGATTGTGTTCTTTCTATTTTTTTTTTCTCCATACGTTTTCCAAAAAAAATTTAATACACTATGCACATTATTATTGTTATACTTTTTACACAATTCTCTATACATCACATAAAAAATTTTCTATTCCAAAATCTCACAAAACAAACACACCGAAATTCTGAAAATGTTATAGATATTGTGATTTTTTTTCTTCTGAAAATTAATTTTGTTTGGTGTGTTCTTTTTGTGAAAAAACATATTTCTCCCGAAAAATTAATATATTATACACTCATTATTTTTATATTTTATACACAATTTTCTATACTTTATGTAATATTTTATTTCTTCAAATCAAAATACAAGATTGTTTTTGATCTTTAATTAATTCATTATATTATAAATCTTAATAAAAATAGTAATATTATTATAGCAAAAATGATAAAAGAATTGTGAAAGAGGCTTGTATTGAAAATATTAACTAGAATTTATGTTTTAAAATATTAAAAAAAATAATAATAGGTTTTTTAATGTATAATTAATATTTATATTATCATTTATATACATGATGTGACCAACACAATACTTTGTTTACTATTTGAAGGTTGAGAATAAAACATAAAAATATTTTATGTTTTATAATTAATCATAATATAAAATTTTGTAACGATATATCTTATATTTAAAAAATATATATTTTAATGAAAAATTAATTATTAGACTAATGTTTTAATATGCATTTATTGTTGATCTTTACTCAATGTTTGTAGGATGTTTAGAACTTGTCGGAACAATTAGCCTATTGACGAAATGAACGACTAGTCTTTAGTTTTTAGATCGGGAATGATTGTAATGCGGCAATATCATGTTGATTAAATTATAGTTATTAGATCAAATACCGGTATAATGATTGTAACGATATATCTTACATTTAAAAAATATATATTTTAGTGAAAATAATCTTTCGACTAATGTTTTAATATGCATTTATTATTGATCCATACTCAATGTTTGTAGTATGTTTAGAACGTGTCAGAACAATTACTCTATTGACGAAATGAACGACTAGTCTATAGTTTTTATAGTTATTGAATCAAACATTAGTAAAATGAAGGATCGAAATTTAATAAGAATATATTAGTAATTTAATATATATATATAGTATGATGTTACGATGTTTACAATTGTTGAGTAAATGAAAAAAATGCCATGTTCTTGCATATTAAATTTGCTTATGCAAACAAAAAAGCAAAGTAAATAAAAGAATAATAATAATGTGTGATAAGTATGCTAAACATATTTAATTTAATTAATTAGATTTTCTTTTTCATTTATGAAATAATATTTGATGCCGTGCTTTTTCGCTTTTCAATTATCATTGTAATTTATTTGTGTGTGTTTTGAACAAAAACAATTAGAATCGTCGAATAGCTTATAACATAACTACTTTCTATATGAACAAAAAATATTGAATAGTTAAATTAAATATCAACGATAATCATTCTTTAGAATTGAAAGAGTTCGTCGGATTTCCTTGCTAGATTTATATGATGCGCTTATTCAGCGTAGATCATATGTTGAATGCATATGTATCATGTGCTGTGATACCAACTTTTAGATCAATCTCTAACTCTAATCATCATCTTATTGTTGTCTTTTAGATCGGGTTGACTGATGAGCTTAATTATGCATAAGCAATGTTTGGTTTATAGATAGATACATGGGAATTTGGAGATTAGAGGGAAAAAAAAATAAAAAAAATTCAATCATTCTATATGCCTTAGATTAATAGGTTGTTCTTCGAGAAGTTAAACTTGTGTGTGCATTCAACATGTTCTTTTGAAAGACTTTTGATCAAGAAGAAGAGTGGTGTAGTATACCATTCTTTGCTATTGAAAAAATGATCATTAGGACCACGCTTTTGAATAAAATTTCGATACTGCGATTTTGAAGAAGGTCCAGAAAAGACTGAATTCAAACAAAAGTAAAGCTGCAAATGTTCGTGATTTTGGATTTGAGTTAGTGAATGCTAGTTTATTCAGTATAGAGTAGTGAGATTAGATTAAACTTGATATGTTATAGAGTAGGATTTTAGAAAATCTAAATTGAAAGGAAGTAGTGAATTTTATTTCCTATTTTTTTGTTTATTAGAAACTGTGTAAAGTTAGCAGGGTGACAAACTCTGTTTGTGTTCATGAGTTTTGATTTGAGTTAGTGAGTGCTAATTTATTGTATTGAGTAATGAAATTAGATTAAACTTGATTGGGATTTTAGAAAATCTAAAGTGACTGAACAAATAATGAAATATTCTCTATGTCCGCATCTAGAGTCATATTTACTTTTTGTATCGTTGTACTTAATATTAAAAATATTTTTGTATTTGCATAATGTTTTGTATAAATGTCATTCTATTAGTATTATAAGACACTAATAGAATTATTTTTGCAATTTTTTCTTAATTTGTACTACGTTTTGATATAATAATTAATATTGAAAGATCAACACGCAAAAAATAAATGAGATCTTTATAACCGGACGAATGTAGTACAATGTATTGTTTCTTTCATTGTACATTGTATGGTGTTTGGATAGCCTTTGCCCTTTGGTTAACAATATTAGAATCGTATTGCAAAATATTTATGGTTGTTTGGTTGTTTGTACTTTAAAATTGATTTGAAACGGGGTGTTATATTGTATTTTATTTAAATAGTATTTTGATGTGATATTTTGTAAAAACAACAGAATCTGAAAGTTTTGAAATTTTAAAGAATTTTGAAAACAAAAAAAGTTTGTTTAGTTGTTCCAGTTTTTGTTTTTTATTTATGTTAAATATGGGGAAGCAGTAGTAATATAAGGAATGATATTTTGTATTTGAATGGTTGAATGTGAATGTTGGGTATATAATGTTTATTTTGGTATATATGGTATGAATGATTCCATTTTGCTAATATAATATATCCTATTATTCACTCATAAAAAAAGTAAATTATTCAACAAAAAATATCTAAAAAAAAGCTGAGTGAACATACTGATATATATTGTGTTTTTTCGATAATATTTTTGGAGAGTCTTCAGTTGTTTTAGTGAACAAAAAATAAAGTTTTGTTTACCTAGACATCAAATGAAACACCCAACTATTTGTAATGTGTTTGGTTTGGGTTTTAAACTCCAATCAACAATTATTTTATTATATTTTTAATAATAATATAGTCTCTTACAAAATATTATATTAGAATATTATTTAAATTAAAGTTGTAATTTCAAACAAAAGTAAATTTTAATATTTTTAAGGTTTAAAATTTTAAATTTTCTATTTAAAAGAAGTTAATTAGGGTGTGTTTGTTTTGTAAAATTGTTCGAAAGAAAAAATTATACTCCCTTCGTCCGCAGTTTAAGAAATATTGTGTTAGATAGTTAATTAGTTTGATTAATGAATTTAATAAAGTGTTATATTAAATATTTTTTATTTGATAAAATGTTAAATTAAAAGTGAAAATATTTTTTATTTAAATTTTTAAATATTGAATTTTTTTATTTACTGTGATTATTTAAAAAAAATAATAATAATTGTATTTATTGTAAATTAATACATGCATTTAGATAAAAATATATATATATATATAATAATAACAATAATTTTAATAACTTAAATGTAATTTATACAATAAAAAATATAATTAAAAAAATTATATAAACAACGCATAAAATTTTTCAAATTCGGTTGATGTTAGAGATAGTTTGTTATGACATACCAAATTTAATACCACACGCAAGGTACAAAATTTTTGATATGATATTTTACCGTACCGTACTAATATTTTGGTATACCGAATTTGCAAATAAAAAATATTGAATTACGAAAATAACATGCATACTCATAAAAAAATATACTGAAAAAATTTCAAAATTTCGATAGAATATGACTTTTTTTTATATGATGATGTATATAATAAGATATTTTCAGTGTATATAGATAATTTTAAAAAATGGTATTTTTGTATATACTGATTATTTGATACAATATTGATATTTTTTTTTTAATAAATTAAAAAATTTGCTACAATATACAATATATTTCGATATTCTCGTATACTAATCATCTCTAACTGAATTGTATACACAATATTAGAATATAATATTTTACAAATACCGAAATTAAAAATATTTTTTATAATTTTACTTCATAAATAAGTTCTTTTATTTATTTTTTTTGAAAAAAGAAAAAAATCAATCAAATCTCATTTTTAATTAACTTTTCAGTCATAAAATTCCAAATCAAACATCAAATTTTTATTATATATTACATTAAAATTTAATTTTAAAATTAAATGAATATTTATTTATATAATATTAAATATTTTTATTATTGAAAATTTCAGCCCAACTTCTAAATTTACAATTAACGAATAATAAAACTAAAGATACTAGTTAGTTAATAAAATATAGTTAAATTTTGTTTAATTAGAAGTATTAGTTATTAATTATTATTATAATAGGAAAGTTGACTAATTTCGTGGGACGGCTAAAAAAAGAAAAAGTGGACTAATTTCGTGGGACTGAGGGAGATAAATTATAAAAAATTGTATAAAAATATAAAATTAATGAATGTGTAATGTATTAAATTTTTTTTAAAAAACTATCTAAAAGAAATAACAGAAAAAACGAAGGCTTGATACTCTGTCTGCCTTACCACCCATAAGGTAAATCTTCTTCTTTATATATATATATATATATATATATTTTTTTTTTAGTAAGTTTGAATATATACATGTTATAAATACTTCTGAAATTGTTTTTATTTTTATAATATAATTAATCAAATTAAAAAGAAATAATTTTTACACAGAAAAGTCATATAAATTATTATTTAAATATTATTATTTTTTTAATATTTTTTTGCAAAATAAGAATATACTTTACTATCGGATGAAAGTAGTATGAATTTTTTTTAAAAATATTATTGAAAATAAATAATACTCCATCTTCAAAATTATTGTGTTGGATTTCTTGTTTCATTATTTGTTAAATTTATATATAAATTATTTATAATAACAAATTTTGTTCAATTATAAATTTATTATTTATATTTTATTATATAATAATAAATTTATTACTTTTTTTTTTTTACTTATACTATGAATTTTTATTATAATTTTTTTTTCTGTTTTATATTAAAACACCAGCATTATTTTAAAATTTTTGTATCAAATAAAAACGGCATAAATATTTGTACAAAACGAATAGTAATATTAAATATTTATTTTATTTTCTATTATATATGTTACCCTACTTTTTATTTTATTTATTATTATATATTACTCCTACTTTATATTTTAAAAGTATCAACGAATATTCAAATAAAATAAAATAAAATAAAAAGATATAATACTATAAGGTTTGTTTGTTTGGGGTTTTAGATTTTGAATTGAGATTTGAATAGTAAAAATTTTAAATTTAAATAGTTGTATAATATGATATAAATAGATATTTGATTTGATATTTTTCAAAAAAAAAATTGAATAAATATTAAATTTAAAATCCAATCCCCAAACAATCAAATTTTCTTTAATTAAGTCTCTAATTTCTAGTACTATTTTAAATATGGTACCAAAATCAAACAGAAGGAATATATGAATAAAAATTATTATTATTATTATTATTATATTATTATTATTATTATTTTGCATGATTGAGAGTGGCATTGGAGATTGACCTGAAAAGACATGTGGGTGTGAGGGCCATGTTGCTGTCGCCATCGGGCAAGTTGCACAATGGTTGCCTGCTGTCCATTTGCACCACTGCCCGACACGTGTAACATACCCCCACGTGTCTCACACACTCTACTACGTCCTATCTATTTCGATAAAGATGAACCATTTGGTTATAAACATGATATTTTAGATAGTTTAGATTATTAATTTATTAATGATATTCTCTCCGTTTTTTAATAATTTTTTTTTATTTTTTTATTTTGGTCTGTCTCATAATAAAATATCCATTTTTTTTAATAACGATATATTTTATTAACATTAAAAAATACTATTACAACTTATAATATATTTCTCAAATATCATTGTCTTTATATAATACAATATTAATAAGGTTAACTTAGTCTTTTTACCTTTATTTCTATTACACAAATATCATTATCTTTATATCACACAATATTAATAAGATTATTTAAATTTTTCTACTTTATTTGTACAATACTTCAATATAATATTAATATTTCACTACAAGAAAAAATTATTTTTGTAACAAAACATTTTTGTCTCTAAATCTACTTTTTCCGTTACTAATGACATTAGAGATGGAATTAGGAATGAAATTACGTTAGCTACGTGAAGTTTAGGGACGAAATTCCGTTACAAATATATTATTTTTTTGTAGTGTTTCTAAAACTCAGATATACACCAATAAGGGACGGAGAGAGTAAGTTATAATACTTTCTCTGTCCTAACTACGGTGTTATCTTCACTATAGATACGAAAATTAAAATACATATATATAATTAGTAAATAATTAAAAATATATTAGTAAAAATAATTATCGTATAATAAAAATAAAATAAATTAAAATTAAAATAATTTAATTAAAATTAAAAAAATTATAAATTAAAAAAATTAAAATATAAAAAAAAAAATTCAAACAAAAAAAGTGACATAAATTAAAATGTATAATTCTTTTATTTACTTTATTCCTACAACAGTCATGTTCTAACATCATCACGTTATATGGACATAAGCTATATACGGTCGTGTGACAATATTACTGTATATAAATTGTACACAGTCGTTTTGTATACATGTCAGTTGCCATGTTAATATCTTTATAGTTACGTTAGCAAGTTAAAAATTTAAGCTGTTGAAGATACATACTCCCTCCGTTCCACTTTTTATGTTCATCTTTTCATTTTCGTCCGTCTCACTTATTTTGTCACTTTTCTTTTTTGAAAAATAATTATACACTTTAATCTTATTTTTAAAAATTTAATTTATAATATTTTTTTATTTTAATTATACTAATTAATTATCTTAATTTTAATTTATAATTATTTTTATTATACGATAATTATTTTTACTAATATATTTTTAATTATTTACTAATTATATTCCTCCTAAATTTTCGTGTCTACAATAATGCGGATAAAATATCCGAAACGAAAAAAATATCATTTATTTACAAGCGAAAGTCAACCAACAACGTTGAATTCAAAATGGTCGTATTGTCTGTCTATAAAACTTAGTCATCGGAATTTTCAAATACGATCACATTCAATTTAATACGACCGTTTTCAGTCGATGTCAATTACTATAAAACTAGTGTTGGCACCCGTGCCTTAGCACGGTTTGTATGAATTGTTAAAATAATATTAAAAAATAATTAATTATATTCAAATATTTTGTAGAAAAATACAAATATTCTTAAAATTCATCAACAATTAATAGTAAGTTTACTATATGACAATTTGTTTTATTATGTCTATGAAGATATAGTAGTACTGTACATATATAAACATAATCTATAAATGTGTCAATTATATATTTATACGTGTAAAATATGTCTGATTTTGTAAATTTTCAAAATAGCATAGTTGACATCGAAAGATAAATTAAGATTGTTTGTGTGACAATTTTAAATTCATATTTATGGTATCGTCTTTTATTGACAAATTAGCATCGTACCCACATTAAATTTTTTATATAAAATATAAATAAAAAATTGCGATGTATTTATAGTTATATAAACATACAATTTTTGTAAAATTAATTTCACTTCAAATATTTTGAACATCAATATGGTTCATGCGTCAAATAATACGGAAAACTTAATATTTATATAAAAATTAAAAATTAAAATTTTAAATTGAAAAAATTAATTATAAAGTAACTATATATTGTGCTATAATTATATAACAATAACATACCATCTTTGTAAAATTAGTTTTACTTCAAATATTTTGAACATCAATATGGTCAATTTATCCAGTGATAGATAAAATTTAATATTCATATAAAAAATAAAAAAGTTATAATTATGAGTTGAAAAAAAATAATTATAAAGTAAGTATATATTGTAGGATAATTATGTAATTTTTAATATAATTATTATATATGACATAATTAAATTATTTATACACATTAGAACAACTACTTAAATAAAATAGAGAATTTGTTTTAAAAACTTATTTTTAGTATTTTTTTAAAAAATTTGTGGATAATTATTTATCTTAATTTTGTATTACAAATTTATTAAATAAGCAAAAATTTATTTACCTTTAAAACTTTCAATTTTTTTACAAAAATAATTTAGATTTATGATAAATAAATAATAATTTTTTTTATTTATATTATATATATTTTATTGAGATATATAATGTTTAAAATACTCAAACACATATTAAAAAAAAATTATTAAATAATAATATTCATTATTTAAATAATTAATTTATATTACATAAATTCTCGTGCCAAAATAAAATATTTCATCTTTGCCGGATGAATGGAGCATATTTTAATACTTATCGAATTCAATATTTTTTGGAAAGCGATAGAGAAAAATTATATATATATATTCATGAAAAAAAAAAAGTTAATATAAGAATAGAAAATGAGATTTAAATAATTTAGAAATTATCAATTATAAATATTATTAAGTTTATAAAAAAAAACTATAAAATAAATAAGATCTTGCAAAATATAAGTAAATATCATATTAAATTATTTATATACTATAAAAAAGTATAAAAATAAATACGGTGATTAGATATCTTCTCCAAAATAGTAAAATAAAAAAAGGAAAATCTTTATATACAATATGATTTGAATGCTTCAGGATTTGACACCAAAAACTATACTGATCAAATAGAAATAATTATAAAAATATAATCTATAAAACTAATGACTTTTTTTTTTTAAAAAAAAAATCGAAATTATAAACCTACACCCTTCTGAATCTTCATCTTTGTCTTTTTCTTAAATCAAAATAAATATAAAATTAAATTCATTGAGGAATATGAAAAAGAGATGAAAACATGAATTTCAAGCAAATAAAAAATAAATTTAAAAAAACTTTATAAAATTTAAAAAGTGTATATATCAACTAATACCATAAAAAAAATTATAAAAAATATACAGATTTTAAAAACTGTAAATACCCCATTACCATATGATACAAAACTGTAAAAAAAAATCAAAAAATCAAAGAAATCTCAAAACTCTCGTAATTGAGGGATTGGAGACTGATCTCAAATACATAATATACAGATAATTAATTTTAATTTTAATATTATTAATTAATAAAATTTTAATATAATTAGGGTGTGTTTGTTTGAAAGTTTGGATTTTGAGTTGGGATTTGAATAATAAAAATTTTGAATTTAAATAGTTGTATGATGTGATATAAATAGGTCTTGATGTTTTGAATGTAAAATTGATTTTTAGTATAATATAAAAAATGAAGAATAGGTGTTTGATTTGATATTTTTGGGGAAAAAAATTAGATGAATAGTGAAATTTAAATCCAATCCCCAAAACAAACGCACCCTTAAAATATGCAGTGAAATAATTTTTTCAAATTCAAAAAATCAGGCGAACTAACACACTTCAATAAACAAACAAGCCTCTCTTGCAATAAAATTGAGCACGCCACACAAACCCGATAACAAAAAGGATTTTAGGTAGGCCTCGCAAGCTGTGTAGGTGGCGACACGTGTCCATGCCACGTGTCAAATTAGCGAGGCTGTTACGTCACGCTTCACCTGCCCCTTTTTGGTCATTTCGTACGATTTCCAGCGTGAATTAAAATCCGTCATCCTTTTCAACCATTTCCTGCTCTCAAGAGAGCTTTTCGCTTTTCGATTCTGCAATTCATTGGCCGCCCTCTGCTCTGCTCTGCTTTTCTCGATTCCAGGGAACATTTCGTCGTTTTGATTCCTTTCTCCCGTGGATTTCAGCCATTGACGGATTGCGTCGGCGCGCGGCGGAGTCACGGAGGCGTTGAGAAGACTTTTGTGCTTTTTTATTTTTAATTCTGTGGCGAAATTTAGTTAGGCTCGTGATATTGCGATTTTTGTTGCGATTCGTTCGAGAATTTGAAGATTTTGTGGTTTTAATTGCGGCTGGCGATGGAAGGAGCTGAAACGAGCATAGAGAAGTTCAATCGCCTCATGAATATTGAGGTTTCCAGAGATCCGCCGGAGAAATTCGCGAATCGGAGCAATTTTCCGGCTGAAATCAAGCGCAGAAGAACGGACGACGACGAGGAAGAAGAAGAAATTGAGTTGAGCTTGGGGCTTTCATTGAACGGTAGATTTGGTCTGGACCCTGCGGCGAAGAGGCTTAAACGATCGTCTTCGGTGTCGAATTTAATCTCCACCGTTGATTTCTCCGATAACGGTAGTAGTAGCGGCGGAGGCGGCAATTACCAGATGCGTGGGAGCTACGCGCCGCTGGCGAGGACGTGCTCCTTGCCTGTGGTTTCCGACGAGTGGCGCCGGCGGAAGGAGTTGAATTCGATGAAGTCTATGGAAGCTAGAAAGAAGAGGATGGAAAAGCTGAAGAGTGGTAAAGTGGTGCGGGATAAGGAGGCCTTTACTGAAAATGTTCAGCCAGGGAATGGGTCGCCAGCGGACGCCATTGGAGTTCAGGCTACGCATCAATCGCATGGTTCGTCTGCGCTTTCTCCATTCCAGGGGCAAATGATGGATGGTATACTGTTTATATCCCTAAATTTCTTCTTCATTTTGCCATTATTGTTCTTGTCCATTTTTATGCTATTTCTTGAGCTTTTTTAATCTCATTTTTGCACATATAGTTATATTTGGTTTATGGTTTAATATTATCTTAAATTAGATTAATTTGTTACTATTTGAGTTTATCTTTTGTTTCTATCATTATTAATAACATACAACTCTGAACTTAGCAAAATGTAAATCTAGACAATGGAATTTTATTTTATTTTTATTTTTAATAATGTTGGAACCTGCAGCCGCCCGCCACTTCTTGCGCCGGTAAACCTTCGGTAAAATCTAATAGCCTGGAAACTAGCCCAAGGCAACTCACACTTGAAGGCGTTTGGAAGTTTAAACCATGATCTTACGGTTACGAGTTCACCTAGACCATCAGGCATCTTTTACGGGTTTAGGGTTACTTGTGGATTGTGTTTTGAGAAGGTTTCTTGTCAATCCTTACAGCCTTACGGCAACGCCTAAAAGATAGGCGGATTGCACATGTTTTCATTTAACGCAATACATATTTGTATTATTTGAAAACATGTAGAGTCAATTCATACTTGTAGGTGTGTTTATGAACATATTTCTTGTACTGGAATCAATCGTAGTATGTGTTGTGCGGATTATGTTACGTGTTGCATTAGTATTATTATGTTAACATAAATAGTATGTTGTTTGTTATTATATTAAGTGTTGTTTGTCTATTAAAAATCGTAACCTTAACTGTCGTCGGGTTCTTGTGATAGCTTATTTGCTTATGCTGCTGTGTTGAGACAATGTGGCCTGTGCATGGGTGAATCTATAAATAGTATGTGCTCTTTAGAATGTAGGTTTTCTAAAAGAAGTAGCTCCTTATGTTTTGTTACTATATATATATATATATATATTTAGAAGATATATATTTATATGTTATAATTATGCTAATAGCTTTATTTGTGAGATCCAGTAGGATTTTAAACTTTTTTTAGATAATTTCAATTTCATATTCTAATATGTTCTATTTTCTTGTTTTTGTGATATTAGGCAGACTGACTGATACAATGAGAATTTGTATATCGTGGAAGTTATTAGCATTTATAGGCATGTGTGTGATTTTGAATTGCTTTCGAGGATGGATTTTGGAACATGAATGTTTACGTTGACCGGCCGCGTGTGTCCATTGATATCACTTTGTTGGAATCCCGACTATACATGAGATCGAGTATTCATGACCTGTTAAGTTTGCCTCTATTCGATGATCTCTACACATCTTTCAGTTACATTTATTTCTGGCTTTAGTTTTATGTAGTCGTGGTTGTCATCGTAGACTGCATGTTACGTTGAATATACAAATGAAAATTATTTAACTTGCCCGATTGATTTGGTGATGTAAAATATCGTCTCACTCTTTCAATTATTGCTCAACGAGTCGAACCAAAGTCTTCATTTGATAAGTAGAAATGTATGCTATTTGAGAACCTCCGTAGAACATCACATTGGATCGTTATGCTAAGTAAACTGTATGCCGGAATTTTGTATTTCCTTTCAATTTATTTATATATTCAGCATTTCTCTTTTAACATGCCGAATAAATTTCAAATTTCAAATAGGAATGAAGACAATGTCCGAGAGCAAGAGCTCTTCGAGCCTCAACCTTCCACACGACGACGAGGCGGAGCAAAGATCTTCGGGGAGAGGGGACAACAAATCGCTGAAGAACGCCTTATTCGACATGCCGTACGTCACCACAAGGGGAGACATGCCCAACAGCACCAAGGTCGAAGGATTCTTGTACCGTTACCGGAAGGGCGACGACGTGAAAATCGTCTGCGTCTGCCACGGTCTGTTCCTTTCGCCTGCGGAATTCGTGAAGCACGGCGGAGGCGGCGGCGAGGACGTCGCGCAGCCGTTGAAGCACATTGTGGTGAATCCTTTCCCCCTCTTTTAATCTCCATAAATGAATGAGCTTTTTTAAGTTTTCGAACGAAAAAAGTGACCTTCCTCGATGAAATAGGTCACCTAAAATCGAAATTTTCTTAACTTCTTGAATTCAGTAGCTTTCAGTGTGTCAAAATCGTTATTTGTCTCTGCTTCTTGACCCTTAAGGCTAAATTGGATTATGTATATATGTAAAGAGTCGATGAAAGCCGTCGAACCTTTAGCCGCACCGTGGCCAACACGGGAAGCAAGAATGCCATCTGTTCCCGGATACGGCGTTCAGAGCTGCTTTCGGATCTTTTTGTGGTGGTTTAGGTTCCGGCTTAGGCGGTGGTTCCGGTGGCTGTGGGGACTGGGGCTGTGGTTGCTCCGGCGGCTTTTCCAGTACAACCTTCAACGAGCTGGCGTTACTCTTTGAGGCGGCGTCGACCAATCTGATGCAGAGAACGGAAGATCGTGAAGTTGTAGGTAACATAGAATAAAAAATGTTGCTGTCTTACACCGGGAAGGCGAAGGAGCTCCCGCTGTTGCCGCTCTCGTTGGAGAACCGCGGCGGGCTCGGGAAAGTTGTCGGTGTAGACGGCGTCGGCGGGGTTGGAGGGCCTGGCGGCGTTGTCTCGGCTGGCGCCGGAGTTTTTACGGCGGGACTTTTTGGGGAAGCGGCAGGCGGATCGACAGCAAGATCTGAGATCGATTTCTCCCTCGTATGATTCGCTATGACGATTTTCGGACTACTGCTGTCTTTCTTCTCGGGTTTCGATTGCTCGTCCGGGGACGGGGACGGCGACGGTGACGATATTCTGCCTTGTTCCGGCGATCGCGCTTCCGGGAGGGTGGCCGGGGAATTACTCGGCTCAGACTTGGACGATTCTTTGAGTCTCGGGATGTCCCCAGGCGAGCCAAGCGGGTGCGACGGAGAATAGCTCCAATCGTCTATCCTCGGAACCTCGTCGGATTTCCCAAACAGAAACATGTAGTCCCGGGAGAAGCTGTTGTTGCCCATCTGAATACTGAACAATGACTCGTTCGACGTCGCGCTCCATTCTGAAGCATTCCCCGGCGATTTAGCGAAAACCGACGCCGGAATCCGGTTTGGATCGTATCCCGGCGGGTGGCCCATTGTTTGGACGGGCGGCGGAGATTTCATCGGCGAGGATTCTGCGGAAACGGATAACGGTGGTTCCTGTGACGGCGGCGGAGAATATTGCGAGTGGCCATCGAATTGCGTTGAGGATTTACGGATCGAGCCGCGGGCACCGATGTCGAATTCGATTAGGGAGCCAGTAGGCGACGAGGGCTCTTGCTTCCTTGCTTCGCCGAGCGACATTTCTTCTGAAGCTCTCCTTACATTGTTGTCGTTGGCGCGATTCGACTCCATTATTCGCCGGATTCTTCGATCTCACCGAAGATGGCGATTGACGGCCAGCCGTGATGCTGCATTATGGTTCGTTCGATCGATTCATCTGCCGATGCAATTGAGACGTAGACACATAAATGATCTACGACAAAAAGATTTATACAGCATAGACCTATCGAATAATTGGTTTCGAAAATTATCAGTCAAATTTTCGAAAATTATAAATTTAATTTAATTTAAAACAATCGATTTTTCAACAATTGCATCGTCAAAACAGATCAAAAGAAACAGCAGACGTTATCAATTTGAAGAAAATGGCAGGTTCAATTCAGAGGCTAATCATCTCCACGAACAAAAAACATAAAAATGCAGCGAGATTTTGCACGTAGATGAGGCGATTCATGGTCTCGCAACTTGGTATCGAAGATTTGCTTAATTAAGATCGCAAGCAATTGCTAGTAAATCGAAGAAATTATTACGCCTAAATGGAGATTCTCAACAGGAAAATCAATAGAGATTCAGAAAACGCACCAAAATCAAAGAAGTTACCTACGAAATGGCAGCGGGAGAGAAATAGCTCTGGAAGGAAGGAATTGATTTGATTCCTGCAGTTTCAAATTCCTCAAGGTTTTCCTGTTTCTGCGTCTCCAGATTTTTTCCTTTTGCGCGTATGAACTGATCGGAACGGAACGGAACCGAACGAGAAGGATCATACAAAGCGAAACCTTCTAGAAAAAACAGGAAACCGCTGGCTGCGTCTCACTCAGGAAATCGTCCAGATTTGCCAAACTTGAATTTCGGGAGAAGGAAAACCGATGAAATCGTCGGTTCTAGGGTTTATTCGAGAAGAAATAAATTTAGTGGCCGACCGCCATTTCCGGATGCTCCGATCGTCGTCGATTTCTAGCCAACTGTTCCATTAATTTGCATTCAAATGGCACCATATTCTCTTCCGTACATACTGTCCACTTCTTACAAAGAAAATAAAAAATAAAAAATAAAAATAAAATAAAATAAAATTTATGATTGTGTTCAGCGAAATTCGACAATTATCAATATATATTCTCCGTCTATTCAAATTTATATATCCGTTTACTTTTTGCAGAGAATTTTAAAAATATTTGTATTATATTGAGATAAAAAAAAAAAAGACTAAATTAGTCTTATTAGTATTATATGATATAAATGTAATGATATTTGTGTAATATATTGTACATTGAAAAAATATTTATAATATTAAATAGATGATATAGTTACTTAAGAAAAATAGATACTTTATTATAAGACGAACCAAAATAAAAAAAATAGATAGATCGTCCGATAAGGAACGGAAGGAGTATATAAATACTCAGTTCGTCTTTGAATTGAGTAGGTTTGAATGGACACAAAATTAACTAAATCATAATAATAACATTAAAATATGTTATGTAAAAAATAAAATAGGATATTATATAAGACTTATTACTCCTCAACTACAACTTAATGTACACTTAAGCTTTTTTATTGTTCAATTTCCACTGATCAATAAACAATAAATGTGTTCATTTATGTTTTTTTATTGATATATTATTTTATGGTAAATATGAAGAATATTAATATAAAAAATAATATTTTGTAATAAAGTATTAAATTTTGAATAATATAGTACTTTCGTCCTGCTCTAAAGTCATATTTATTTTTTGTGTATTAATTTTTGAATATTAATTATTATATCAAAATATAATACAATTTTTTTAAAAAAAATTGCAAAAATATTTATCTACTTTGCCGAGTGCATCTTACAGTGTTCTTACTTTTAGTAGGTATTGGAGTCATGTGCGAGGCTACACTAGCGAGTTTTCAAGGGAGTCGAAGAATCGTTAGGTCAACGGGAAGATGTTCGAGAATGAATCATCAGACCCGTTACAAGTGGTATCAGGGTTAGGTTTCGAGGAGATGGCGACAAACAAGTCAGATACTGAGTACGAGGTCGAGAACCAAGTTCATAGGCGGACGGACCAGGAAGTGGGGACACTTGACGGAAGGTTGGCTAAGGTGGAGCTAATTGTCGGAGATCACCACGACAAGCTCGACGAGGTGGAGAGCGTATCTGCGAGCTGGAGGGAAGCGAGCCGCGCGAAGGTGTCTTATAATCGTATTTGAGATCAGTGTCTGATTCCTCAATTATGAGATTTTAGAGATTTTTTTGATTTTTTTTTTATTTTACAGTTTTGTATCATATGATAGTGGGGTATTTACAGTTTTTAAAATTTATATATTTTTTACGGTTTCTTTTATAGTATTAGTTGATATATATACACTTTTAAAAATTTTATAAAGTTTTTTTCTAATTTACTTTTTATTTGGTTGAAATTCACGTTCTCATCTCTTTTTCATATTTTTCGATGAATTTAATTTTATATTTATTTTGACTGTAAAAAAATAGAGACAAATATGAAGATGCAAAAAGGGGTGTAGGTTTATAATTTCGATTTTTTTCAAGTTAAAAAAAATCATTAATTCTATAGATTATATTTGTATAACTATTTTCATTTTATCTGTATATATTTTGGTGTCAAATTCTAAAGAATTCAAATCATATTGTATTATTATTATTATATGATTTTTTTTTCCAATTAGTTTCATAATTTTTATATAAAAATTTTCCTTTTTTTATTTTACTATTTTGAAGAAGATATCTTATTACAGTATTTATTTTTATACTTTTTATAATGTACAAATAATTTAATATGATATTTATTTATATTTTCCAAGATCTTATTTATTTTACAGTTTTTTTTATAAACTTAATATATTTACAATTGATAATTTCTAAATTATTTAAATCTCATTTTCTATTCTTATATTAACTCTTTTTTTCATATATATATATTTTTTTATCGCTTTCTAAAAGATATTGAATTCGATAAGTATTAAAATATACTTAATTCGTCTCGGCAAGATGAAATATTTTGTTTGGGCACGAGAATTTATGTAGTATAAATTAGTTATTTAAATAATGAATATTATTATTTAGTGATTATTTTTTTAATGTGTTTAAATATTTTAAACATTATATATCTCAATAAAAAATATATACAATATAAATATTATATTTTAGAGAATACATTTTATTAATACACATAAAAAAATTTATTTATTTATTTATCATTAACCTAAATTAGTTTTGTAAAATAATTGAGAGTTTTAAAGGTAAATAAAATATTTGTTAATTCAAGAGACAAAAATAAAGAATTTTGAGCGGGTCATACATATAAAATATTAGAAATTTAAGTAAATTTATTTATATTTATTAAATGTATTTAAGATTGATAAATTTATTAAAAATATAAAAATGTCATATTTTGTGGAACGGACAAAAAAAAAAAACGAAAATGAGTTATATGTGGCGGTACCAATGAAATATTATATTATTGATTTGTATTTAATATGTAAATTTATTGTTAATTCTTATATATTATGTATATCATATTCAATTAATATATATTTGAATAATTTTAAACAATTTTAATCAATTTTCTAAATTTTAAATGATTTTTTTAATATAATATTTTTATTTATTAGTTAATGTCTAATTTTATTTTAAAAAATAAGTATGAATAATTGTAGTTGATATTTCAATAATACTATTTATTGAATTAAATTACTTTTTTCTTATTTATTAAATTTGCAATACAAAATTAAGATAAATAATTATCCACAATTTTTTTTAAAAAAAATACTAAAAATAAGTTTTTAAAACAAATTCTCTATTTTATTTAAGTAGTTGTTCTGATGTGTATAAATAATTTAATTATGTCATATATAATAATTATATTAAAAATTGTTACATAATTATCTAACAATATGTACTTACTTTATAATTATTTTTTTTCAACTTATAATTATAGTTTTTTATTTTTTATATGAATATTAAATTTTACCTACGGATAAATTGACCATATTAATGTTCAATTTATCTGAAGTGAAACTAATTTTACAAAGATGGTATGTTATTGTTATATAATTATAACACAACATATAGTTACTTTATAATTATTTTTTTCAATTTAAAAATTTATCTTTTAATTTTTATATGAATATTAAGTTTTTCGTATTATTGGACTAATGAACCATATTGATGTTCAAAATATTTGAAGTGAAACTAATTTTACAAAAATTTTATGTTTATATAACTATAATTTATTTTTTTATATTTTATATAAAAAAAATTAATGTGGGTATGATGTTAATTTGACAATAAAAGACGATACCATAAGTATGAATTTAAAATTATCACACAAACAATCTTAATTTATCTTTCGATGTCAACTATTCTATTTTAAAAATTTACAAAATCGGACATATTTTACACATATAAATATATAATTGACACATTTATAGATTATGTTTACATATGCATAGTAGTAACTATATCTTCATGGACATAATAAAACAAATTAACACATAGTAAACTTACTATTAATTGTTGATTAATTTTAAGAATATTTGTATCTTTCTACAAAATATTTAAATGTAATAATTATTTTTTTAATATTATTTTAACAATTTATATAAACCGTGCAACGCACGGGTGCCAACACTAGTATTAATAGAATAATATCTGTAATGATATGTACAATAAAGATAAATGTGAGGAGGATGAAATGAGTACATTATATGAACGGATATGTATTGTATATTTTTTTTAGGTAATATTCTCCCGGAATTGTGAAAGTTGGGTGAACAAAACATATTATTTAGGGTGTGTTTGTTTGGGGGATTTAATAAGATTTCTACTATTCATCCAATTTTTCCCCCCTAAAAACATCAAATCAAACACCTATTTTTCATTTTTTATATTATACTAAAAATCAATTTTACATTCAAAACATCACATCAACACCTATTTATATCACATCATACAACTATTCAAATTCAAAATTTTTACTATTCAAATCCCAACTCAAAATCCAAACCCCCAAACAAACACACCCTTAATGTACTAAAAAAAACAAAAGCGTTAAGAAACATACTTCCTCCGTTAATTTTCTATTGTCCTAAAGTATATTTACATGATTTTTTTTAGGTGATTGTCTTTTTGTTATAAATGGACAAATTTGCCCTTAAGTGTACGGTAGAGATTAAAAAATAATAAATGAATGAAGAATAAAAATGTAAAATTTGTGTTTAAAAAATGAAATAGGACAATAGTTGTTGGGCATTAGTTTGTGGACGAAGTGAGTATTATTTTTCTCACATCTCATGTAATTAAAAAAAAAAGATATTAAATTATGCATGAATCTATATAATTATTTATATTGCACATATATACTTTTATCAATATATTTT